ATATATAAAAAAAATATTAAAAATATGCTTCGACCGATGCGAAATAAACTTGTATACCAATTCAAAAATCTTTACATATTTTAAATCGAGCAACTGGAAGCACTTTAATTTTTATCAGGCGTATTGTATGTTACACGTGTGTTAGACAAAGACAGAAGATCACCGCTTCCAATCCCCTTAATATAAATAATAATATTGTCGTGCGTAATAATACTCATGTTGTGCGTATTTACCGGGAATAAATAATTATTGGAGGTTTGAAATTCTGTGACGTTACAGTATATTAATTTTATAAAATAGTACATACGCAGAAACATAGGTAATTTAATAATCTTATTTAACACAGAATAAAATATAATAATGGTATCGGTACTAAGAATACTAACATACTAATAACGTAGAATATATAAGAATTATAATATTCATAATAATAATAATAATAATAGTACTTGTTGTACAAGCTAATATTGTAACACACATATCGTAATATTGTAACGTAGGTACACTCTAAATTTTATTTTCCATAAAAAAATTAACAAAATTGTTTCTTATGTTAATTGCTGTTCGCGAAGCATGGTTATTAGCTCTACCTCCTTGATTTAGTGCTGTCATCTGATTCTGAACCATATCAAAATTAGTATCATTAGATACTGGTACATTTTGTATTAACACACGGAAAAAAATAATTTAATACTATTAACAAAATAGTTTTGTAATATGATTTATAGTTAGAGTAACACAAATATATTAGTCACAGCCAGTGGCGTAACTGGATAAAAAACTAGGGGGGGCAATGTAATTTATTCACCATAAACAAAACCCTGAGTCCCTGACCCCTACATTGATTTAGTCTTAAAACCAAGGCTTCAAACCGAAATGATTTTTGTGGTTAATGGTTTTAGTTCTTCTTTAATTTTTTTCGGTTTAAAAAATCGGTTAATATTGATCCTACATTTCATGGTTATTAAAAACCGATTTTTAAATTAATAAAATCGGTTAATTTTTTTTTAATAATATGAATAATATGTTTATACTGTCTATGTTAGAAACAAATTGTAGCCCGTAGGTAACAGTTACCCATATTGTTAAATATTATTAAGTACCTAGAGAGGTCATTAATAAAATGTGCTATGAGTAGTTTAAAAWGTAGGTAAGTAGTATAAATATTATATACACATATTGACATATTTTATGCTTGGGGAACAATAAATAATAAATAAATAACCATCAAATAATTTAATTACTTTATTAACAAATAAAAGAAAGAATAGGTTTTATTTTTTGTTATTTTAGTGTGAGTTTTCTGTTACCTCCTACTCCATTCGAAACAAATTCATCAATTACTTTGTCAAAATCTATTGGCACTTMTCTTTGAATTTGTAATAATGCTAACCCGCTTAAGCGCTCTTGTCCCATGCTGGTTCTTAAGTAACTTTTTAGGCGTTTTAAGCAGGAAAATGTTCTTTCACAAGAGGAAGTATTTGTTGGTATAGTCAAAAATATTTTTATAATTTTTGTGTAGTTTRTAAATCCTATTTGTATATCACCACATAACAAATATGMTATTTTATTATCGATGTTAAACTCATCATACTTTGTCTTGAACATTCGATTAAACATAGCAAGCTCAATAGTGACTTCATTAAAATCTAAGTTATATGTTTCACATACTAATTTTATTGAATTATTTTCCGGTTTTTCACTGATAATAACATCCTTCATAGCTTGTAGTATATTAAGATCGTTTTCTTTAAATCTGTCTTGTATTTCTTTTATTACAATATCTAAAACAATGTAATAGATGTTAATTTTATACATATCTTGAACACTTGTTATGTCTGTGGAATTAACTTGACCTCCTCCCAATTTTAGTGGAATAGTTCTTTTTCTGGGAAGTTTTGGAGAGCTAATATTGTTTTTTTTTGTTATTTCCATAGCTTTGTTCCAAGTTTTATCGAATTCTGTAACTGATCTATGCTCACTTAAAATAGCTACTGTTTGAAGTGTCATTGTATTTACATTTGCATAATTAATATTAGGGGATTGCAAATACTTTGACAAGATATTAGTTTCTCGCATCACGTCATTTAAAAAAACTATGCAGAACACAAATTCAAAGTTTGATATAGAAAAAAGCAACGAAGAAGCATCAGATCCATTTATTGAATCTTGTTCTGATATGTCTTCTAGAGTTTTGAGAATGACTGTAAAATTGGATACAACTGAGTCTAATGCATCTATCCTACAACTCCATCTCGTGTCACTCAAACTTTTTAAAGTTTTTGGTCCAATTTTATCGCCCATTTTAGTCCGTATTTGCTCAAATATTTKATATCTTTTAGAAGAGGCACCAATAAAGCTATGCAAAGTCTTTAATGTCCCAAATGTATTTCTCACATATGAAACTTGTTTAGCCAAATCAACCAAACAAAGATTTAGAWTGTGTGCATGGCAATGAACATAAAATGCTAATGGATTTTCAGTTCGTATTTTGGCTTGAACACCATTATAAGACCCTCTCATAGAAGCTGCACCGTCATAACATTGACCTCTTAAATCTTCAATTCTAAGATTATAACTATTGAGCACTACTTTTATTAAATTAGTCAAACACTCACCATCAGTTCTGGCTGTTCTATAAAATCCTATGAAAACTTCATGGGGGTTTAAATTACCATCAACATAACGTATGATGAATGATACTTGTTCGTGCCTAGCAAGATCCTGTGTTTCATCAATTAAYATACTATAAATACCAGCCAATTGTATGTCCTTGATTATGCTTTTTGTTACAAACGCAGCCATTAAACTAATAAATTCATTAGTATGTGTACCAGTCACATATCTGAAAGATTTCTCTTTTTGTAAAAAGTAACGATCCAAGATATTATTATCTTTTGCTCGTAACTTCATCAGTTCTAAAAAATTTCCCATGTTTTCAGAATCTTCATTTTCTCTATGCCCTCGAATTGGGATACCTTGGTAAGCACA